AAAAAAATGGGTGATACATGTCATAAAAAATAAGGATTACTAATGAAAGCACGATTAACAAAGGCCTTTGAGCCTAACGTCTAAAAATGTTCATACATTGTTGGTTTTTTGTGGAAATCTGTCTTTGGAGCATCTTTGCCTTTATGTCTCATAAGACCGGGCATGATTTCTCGTATCTTTGTAATGTGTAACTTTAGAGATGAGTGTTCAAGAAGGAATAGGATAATGAGAAAAATATAGGTGAGTATTAAATGATTTTCATTGTTTGCCAGGCTGTATGAGCTAATGATTTTTAAAAAATTATTACTACATAAGACTTACTATTCATAGCTGACTGAAATTAGAAATGAAAAAAAGATTATTCATTGATTGAATTAGCAGTGTCTGGCACACAGTAATGTAATATATGAAGTAAGTTGGGCTTGGATGCCATCCAAAAGGGCTTAGTTATTGAAGCAGTTTTATTTCTGAAGTGATACTAAAGAATAGGCATGGGTGTCCAGGCTGGTTACAGTTAAATTTAGGAATAAGGCACAGTAATAAAGATACTATCTTTAGACTTGAAAATTATAAATCCTTAGTTGTTATTCCTTTATAAAGTTAACAATGAATGTACACACTATAAGCTATCATATGTACTGTAGATGAAAAGGGCAATAAACACTAGCCAGAGTTAGAGGTAGAATGACATAATAGAAAGATAAGGGTTGGGTCCAGGCACAGTGGCTCACCCCTGTAATCCTAGCACTTTGGGAGGCCAAGTAGGAGTATCGCTTGAGCCCAGGAGTTCAAGACCAGCCTGGGCAATATAGTAAGACCCCATTTTTAAAAAAACAAAAAATATAATATTTTAAAAAATTAAAAAAAGGTAAAAATTGAGAGTCCTGGCTAGCAGCCTTTACTATGCCACTCACTGGCTGTATGATTTGGAGTAAGTCACTGAAGCTCTTTTCCTTATTTCACCTGTAAAATGTGAGGATAGAATGATAGGCTTCAAAGATTCTCTGAGTACTAACTAGAAAAGTTGCACTCAAGTTTATCACAGATGCAGGGTTTGAAATGAAAATCCTATACTCAGATTTCTGTGTTGCAGGATTTTTTACTTCAAGCTTAACCACTGTGGTAGCAAAAACAACACACTCTCTGCTCACCTACCCCAAAGGATGTCCACAATGAATCCCCAGAATTTGTGAATATAATTTCCCCTTGTTACACGGCAAGGGAAATTAAGCTTGCTAATAAGCTACCATAAAATAAAGAGATTATTGGCTGAGTGCAGTGGCTCACGCCTATAATCCCAGCACTTTGGGAGGCTGAGGCAGGTGGCTCATGAGGCCAAGAGATCAAGACCATCCTGGCCAACATGGTGAAACCCCATCTCTACTAAAAATATAAAAATTAGCTGGGGTGGTGGTGCATGCCTATAATCCCAGCTACTCAGGAGGCTGAGGCAGGAGAACTGCTTGAACCTGGGAGGGAGAGGTTGCAGTGAGCCGAGATCACCACTACACTCTAGCCTGGGAGACAGAGCAAGACTCTGTCTCAAAAAAAGAAAAGAAAAGAAAAATAACAAGATAATCCTGAATTATCTGGTTGGGCCTAATGTAATCACAAGAGTTCTTATAATGTAGAAGAGGAAGCCAGAAGACTGGCGGTCAGAGTGACGTGATGTGAGAAAGACCTACCAACCACTGCTGGCTTTGAAGATGGAGGAAGGGGCCACGATGAGCCTCTGAAAGCTGGAAAAGGATAGAAAACAGATTCTCCTCCAGGTCCTCTAGAATGGGGCCCAGCCCTGCTGACACCTTGATTTTAGCCCAGTGAAACCGATATGACGTCTGACCTCCAGAACTGTAAAAAAATAAATTTGTATTATTCTGTTTTGTAATTTGTCACAGTGGCAGTAAATAACTAATATAATCATGATATGCACTGTAACTAGAAAAGTTGCACCCAAGTTTATCCCAGATGCAGGGCTTTAAATGAAAATCCTATATTCAGATTTCTGTAAAGATCTTCAGAGTCATAAATAATGAGAGACCATGAAAAGTTTGTAGAAAAGCTGCAGGAATTAGTAGAGAGGGTCTATGCGGGAATACAATTTTTACTAATGATTCGTGTCAAGAGAAGAAACTTGGATATTTTATGAAGGAAAGAATGTGGCAAGAGAAGTTTAAAAAATTACCCACAATATAGGAATTTCTTATCTAAAAACTGAAGAAAAAGGATAAATAATTTCCAAATTTTTCTAGCTCTGAAATAAGATTTTAAAATCCTGATAGATGCTAAAATGGGCCTTTGACACCACTCCCCTACCCCACCCCACAAAGTACTATAGTTATTTTTAGTATCTGATGGTCAGGCTTCACAGAAAGCTCTTAGTTTGATAACAAGGAATTGGCTCTGAATTTCAACCCTGACACTTTTGTTAAGGTAGGATGTATGAGAAAACTTTAGTTTTCTTCTTTTCTTTGGAGACCGGAGTTTCACTCTTGTTGTCCAGGCTGGAGTGCAATGGCGCAATCTCGGCTCACTGCAACCTTTACCTCCTGTATTCAAGCAATTCTCCTGCCTCAGCCTCTTGAGTGGCTGGGATCACAGGGGCCAGCTACCATGTCCGGCTAATTTTTGTATTTTTAGTAGAGATGGGGTTTCACCATGTTGGCCAGGCTGGTCTCAAACTCTTGACCTCAGGTGATCCGCCTGCCTCGGCCTCCCAAAGTGCTGGGATTACAGGCATGAGCCACTGCGCCTGGCCTGCTTTAGTTTTCTAGCTCTTTTGCCACTTCACGTATAAAATCATGGTAAACATTTAGCTAGGTGGATTTTCCATGGAATGAATAATTTTAGATGAAGGTTTACTGAAGGTTTATTCCTTTATGTTACTAAACTTTATGTATTTTTGATGAAACTATTTCTAAAGTAAAATACATGCCCTCTTTTTACATAAAATTTAATACGTACTATATAACCTTTTCTTGAAAAGAGTCATTACAAGTAAAATCAATTGCTATACAGTATTGTGTTGTAAGCACAGTGATATTCTTTCTACACAGGTGTCTGTGAACTACGTCCTGCAGGCTGTTCTTGTAAGGCTGGGAGGTAAGAATAATTTTTACATTTTAAAAATGTTGTTAAAAAATGTGATCTAGATAATATATGGCTTGCAAAGCCTCAAATATTTATCTGGCCCTTTACAGAAAAGCTGACTGACTCTTGCTCTAGAAAAACATGTACAAGTCTCTTCAACAAATGTCTCCAACTAGACTGAGTTTTATCCTCTGTCACCAAAGGAAAGTATTTTTATCTTGACCTATCGTCTGACAAAATAGTTTAAATATTTGTGGAAAAATAAAGCTCATTGGCATTTAAAACTCTTTTGTTGCTTCTTCTTGTTACACAGTCTCCTACTCACCCTCCAGTTTTCATCAGTCACTGTAGCTGCCTCTAGCAGTCGCTCCTCTCTACTCTCACCTTTCTAATCTCAGTGGAAATTTGATAACACAGCTTACCAATATTTTAAGGTAAGATTAAATTGGTTACATGAAGACCCTAGAACTATTTTCTGAGTAGAATACAGGGGGTTTGGTGCAGCAATTTGGTGACTTATTTTGATTGCCCCAACGCCTTTTTCTTTAGTTCCACGTTCTCTATTGCCCTTTGGAAAAGCAACATTTCAGGACAGATGAGGTGTTACTGTAGTATACCTGATCATTTTTATAACATAAAAGTAGCATTACATCTGAAAAGATATTAATCAAAAGACTGAACTGCAGTAACTGGAGTGGTAGGATTTTCTTGGAATATCTGAATTTATTACTACTTTTACAATGAACAGACATTACTTAATTTAAAAAAAGATAAATCAGAAGGATCTGTCTACTCAGTCTTACTGACCTAACAATCTTTATTTGGCATATTTTCTATCACAATTTGGTCATAGTTTTTAGTGGTTGTAAATATTGTTTGTTTTTGATTCATACTTGGCTTGCTGAAAAATACGCTGTAAATATAAAATACTGCAGTAATGCCAACAATCAACATGATGAAAGGTGACAGTCTTTTTGACTTCTGTTCGATTCATTATTTTATACAATAAATTTGGATAATGTTACACTTGACAAAACACTTTACTTCATTTAGTCCTCACAACATCCCTGTGAGGTAGGCACATTCTCGGAGGTAAAATGACGTGGGCAAAGTCTTCTGGCTCGTTTGGGGAAAGGCTCAGCAGCCGGGCCAAGAAAGGTCTTTGGGGGCGCAAGTATTTGGAGGGTAGGTCTTTTGGGGGGCGCTTTTAGTAATGTTAGAGCTTTCACTAGACCCTGGCCTCTTATGTCCTCTCCCCTGACATTTACCTTTACAGACTCAAATTCTTGCACGCCGGGAAGGCAGGCTGAGGGCTGCGAAAACCTGCAGCTCATACCCAAAGCTAGCACTGTCCATCCCTGGAGACCCAGCGCCAAAGAGCTCCGCTGGGCGCACAGCGCACGGCTCTACTCCTCCCCCGAGCCGCAGACTGAGTACTGGCCCCGGACTAACCTGACTAGGTCGGTCATGCAGGAGCCCACCACTACCACCGCCGCCACCTCCTCCTGCCACTGCTTCCGGGGTTCCCCAGACGCCGCCATCGGTCAAAGGTGCTGCTGTCCAACCTGGACTCTGACCTCTGCCCTTTGCCCGATCCAGTAACCAGAGACGCCGCTCCTGCCCTCCCTAACGACGCGGGCCTTTCAGACGCCTACGCGGGTCGCCCACCTGACTGCCCGAAATTACCCCGCCCACCAAGTACCCCTCTTCTTCCCGGAATAGTCTCCGTGCACATCCTCACGTAACAGAGCCCTTCTGATATGGCGAGACTCCGCGCTCTTCGCCACGCACCGGCAGGCGCTGAGGAAGGAACTGTCAGGCACCGCGGGGACGCCTTTCCGAGTGCCCGGCTCCGCGCGGAGCGGGGGCGCGCACGCCGGCCTGCTTCAGGGCGCAGAGGGGGCGGGGCGGGACGTCCGGGGAGTGCGCACGCATCCGGCCCGCGGCGCGCGCGCAGGTCGGTGCGTCGGTCGGGGGCGCGCTCGGGTACCTGTACCCCACGTAGTCGCCGGTTACCGATCGGACTAAGTTCCAGGTACCTGGACTGGGGCTGGTGCGGGGAGGTTGGATCCCAAGTCGCACAGGTGGCGTGGAAAACCGTGGTTTAAATATGGCCAGAGGACTCGACTCCTCTTCCTATGGGGAAGGCCCCTGTTCCAAAGATGCCCTTCTCATCCCCATCACGCTGATCCCCTCAAGAACGAACCCCCAAGGCCAGAGGCGTCTCTTTCTCCATATCTGGCTCATCCCGTAGTCCCTGTAAAGCCCTAGTATCAGTTCCTTATTGCCTGATGAGGGGAATCATACAGTTTGGGAGCGGGGAGAGTGTCCCTTTTAAGACGTCCCTAGAGTAGGGTGGTCATTCTTCGGGTCTGAGATAACTTGTTTTTCTCGAATGTTGCCCCTTGGGGAAATTGCTTCCCCAGTGTAACTTCCCTCGTGCGCTTCATGACGTTGACGTGACGCAGCAGGATGCCACCCCTTTCCGTTCCATGACGTCAGCAGGGCACATGTTTCCGTGTTTGTCATCTCATTTTAATTGCAAGAACCTGGATGGTGCTTTAGACGTCTTTGTATTCCCCAGGCCTCCCATCAAAGGACCTTATGTAACTTTATTTTGGGGTAGCAGACCCTTGCAAAAATTGTAATTTTGCATTTTCCTTTTGCAATACGTCAAAATCAGGAAATACAAATTGCAGAAGAAGCATTCAGGAGACTCTGACCACCGTAAATATTTGCATATCTGGGCTGTATTATAGTGCTGCCATGCGTAGGAGTTACTACTGGTGGTGACCACTGTCCACGTACCTGGTTCACTGCACCAAAGGACCAGTGTTTTTGGCTAAGTGACCTCTGATTTTGGAGTCATTGTATTCCTTACCACCCCTGCACTTTTTTTTAGAGAAGTCACACCTCTTCGTGGTTGAAATTGATTTTAATACTGCTTGAAACTGCACTGTCAAAAAATAAATAATAAAGAGATTTTTTTCCCCCTGGAAATAAAGAGAATTCATTCCCTAAGGTGTCATCCTAAAGTCATGACAGTTGCTGAATTAGAATGGATTGTTGTCACTTTTCAAGTGTTGTTTCAAGTAACCTTGTTTCAAGCGAGGTTGTTCCCGTGAACATTTGACTAGTGATTCACTCAGCCCGGGTTCAGCAGTAGGCCAGCAATAGTCCAGTCTGTTTCTATTGATAAAGCAGTCATTTGTTTAAATTCACTACTTTTCGTCTGTTCAAATTTTATAAGATATACAGTTTAAAAAATCACCTGGATGTTTTTCTCTTTGGTGATTGAAGTTATCAATGTTTATTTGAGAGGAAGATGGATATAGTAGACTTGGAAAATCTGGATTCGAATCCTGATCCTCTTGCTTCCAACGTTGAACAAGTTAGTTTATTTTGCTAAGCTTTAATTTTCTGTTTGTCAAGTTTTCTTTAGCTTCCATTTGTCAGATGGGAACAATTATTGTTCTCAGGGAACAGAGTTGTTGGGAGGTAAATGAAATTCCAGATAGAGGTGAGTAATATAATGCCTGATAGTGGGTAGATGTTTAGAATATGTTGGTTCTGTTTCCTTCTTTTGTAGAAACAGACAAAATAATAATAGGTACTGTGGGAAGAAAACACAGAAGAACAATTTTGTAGTATAAGTGAGACCCCTTTGCTTTTTTAAAAGATGGGTATATTTGAGCTTAGCATATGATTTTGATAAACATCCCTTCAAGAATTGTGACATAGAAATAAAGGTGGAAATGTCAGAGAATAGAAAAAAATAGGCTTCAAAATTATGATGTGGATTAGTACACTTTTCACAATCAAATTATAATAATTACCCATATCATCTGCAAAATGGGAATTAAAATACTTTCTTTACTACCCCAGGCTTGTGAAGATCAACTGCAGTAATGTATATGGATGGTCCTTATAAGTAATAAAGTGATTTAAAAGTACATGATTTTTATGATTGGTAGTAAAGTGTTTGATGTTTAGTCTTTGAATGAGAGAATAGTCGGGGGGCATCTGTTAAGAAGAAGAGCTTGTTTTATATTTTACAGAAAGGATGATTTTGGAGATGAAGTTTAAGTATAAAGGTGTTAATCTCAAAGATACTTCTGAGTGTCATAACTATATAAGGTCAAAGTGTTTTTATTTTTTGAAATATCACTGTAGTCTTTCCCTTTATTACTATCTGAAATAATAAACTGAAACAGGTTCACTTTTCAACATTTATTTTAGCAGGGACTTGTACGTTTTCATGTGGTATTATGTATGAAAACTAGAACCAGAACATCATTTACTGGTAACTTGCTGGAAATTAATTTTCTTTTGATGTGGCATTATTCTTTAAAATTGAGGAAGGAAACGATCATTTGAATTGACTTATTCCTCTGAAGGAAGAGGCTTTCATTTAGAAATCTATTAAGAAGAATTCCTATACTCCCTCCCCCAACCCCATGAGTTTCCATGTAATTTAGATATGATGTATCAGTTCCACTTTTTGTGGTTTTAAGTGTAAGGATTTAGTGCCTTAAAGTCAAATACTTTAAGATCCACATTAGTCTGTGTTGCTTGATAGCTGCATAGGTGTATGTTTTCATAATTTAATTGTCAAGTAGATTTTTGCTATATCTATTCCTTGGATTTTGTTATATCTCTTCCCTACCAAATTTTTTTGGGGAGGGCACATTATCTTCTCTCCATACTGAAGTACTTCTCTAACCTTTGTCCCCTTACTCATTTATTTATTTAAAAAAAGTTTGATAAATTTTGAGTGTTTAGCATATGCCAGGTATTTTTGTTAAACCCTAGGCATTCAAAACATAGTCCTTGCAGGAAAGGGATCACGTAAACAGACTACCCTGTGGATGGAAAGGTTATTAAGAAAGGTATATCAGTAAATAATTTCTCGTAAGTAATAGCTGCAAGCAGGTTAGCTTATTGTATAGTTTTCTTTTTTTCCTTTTTTTTTTCTTTTTTGAGATGGAGTTTCACTCTTGTTGCCCAGGCTGGAGTGCAGTGGCGTGATCTTGGCTCACTGCAACCTCCACCTCCTGGGTTCAAGCGATTCTCCTGCCTCAGCCTCCAGAGTAGCTGGGATTATAGGCATGCACCACTACGCCTGGCTGAATTTGTATTTTTTTTTTAAGTAGAGACGGGGTTTCTCCATTTTGGTCAGGCTGGTATCAAACTCTCGAACTCAGGTGATCCGCCTGCCTTGGCCTCCCAAAGTGCTGGGATTACAGGTGTGAGCTACTGCACCTGGCCTGTAGAGTTTTATATGGTATTATCCATCAAGCTTTTACAATCCTTGTGGGGACACACAGGGAGAGATTGCTAACCCAGTGATGTGTGTGTTTTTGTGTTGGGACAGAGTTGTTAGCAAAGGCTTCTTGGACTCAAATAAAGTAGAATGAGCCAGTTGTGTGACAGAGTGGGACCATTTTAAGTACAGTGTGGCAGTGTGGAAAATCAGCTTTGGGAAGGAAGAGGGAATCGTATTTCAGCGGTTCCTTCTGTTCCTGAAAAGCAGTGGTATCGTCCCTATCCTGAGCAGCTGAGCTGCAGTGAGGTGGTTTTTTTCTGGAGGATCATTGGAAGAGTCTGCTCTAGAGATGAGAAATGAAGCATTTATTCATGTAAGAGAAGCTCCTGTGTGCTGCTTAGTTTTCAACAAGCGTGTTGTCTAGTTCATTTGTAAACTCTGATCATCATTCTTTCCATTTTCTGCTTTCAGTGATAATTTACAAGTCAAGTTAAAATGTCCCCAGAAGTGGCCTTGAACCGAATTTCTCCAATGCTCTCCCCTTTCATATCTAGCGTGGTCCGGAATGGAAAAGTGGGACTGGATGCTACAAACTGTTTGAGGATAACTGACTTGAAATCTGGGTATGTATCAGTATGAATTCAGTGTATGTCCCAAAACCACTTCAATCTTTACCTAATGATAGTCCTTCCTTACCAGATTCGTAAAAATTAGCCACCGCAGAAACCCACCAAGTCATTATCTCATCATATGTTGATTCAGAAGGTTTTATTCAATTCTTGACATTTTATCTTTCATTTTATTTGTGTTTTGGGCCATTGTTTTATGACCAGAATGTTCATGTCTTTTTTCTGGTTTATCTCTTTGGGAAGAGCATGTGAGAGTTTTAGAAGTGTTTTTCATTCATTGGCTTGTTTTCTTTTTATGTTTGCTGCAGTCTGGCAACAAACATATTCTGAATCTGATTATCATTTGGTAAACTCTCTTAATATGAAAATTATAAGAGCTAGCCAAAATGGGTCATTTCTCACAATGGGGTTGAAACAGCAAGATCTCACACCTAGAAATGTTACATTAAAAAACAGATTTTCTTTTCCTGAAACAAACTTAGATTTACAAAAAGTTACAAAAATACTATAGAAAAATAGCATTGTTATAATGATGTTAATTGTTCTATAGGTCTTATTTGAATTTTTCCAGTTTTCCCGTTAATGCCCTTTTTGTTCCAGGGTTCAATCATCATGTCTCCTTAGTCTCCCCAACAGCGACAGTTCCTCAGTTTTTCTTTACCTGTCATGACCTTGACACTTTTAAAGAGCACTGGCTACTTATTTTGTAAAACGTGCATCCATATGGGTTTGTCTAATGTTCCCTTTTCAGTAGAATGAGAAATATGTTTTTTCCCAAGTATAGTACAGATGTGTGATTGTACCATCCTCAGTGCATCAGATCAGGGAATATATGATGTCCATATGCCTTTTTACTGTAAGTTAACTTTGATAACTAGGTTAAGTGATCACTGTAAAGTTAACTGATTTTTCTCCTTGTAATTAGTTAAGAACTGTATTTTGCTGAGTGATGTTTTTGGACTTTGCAAATATCCGGTTTCTCATCATAACTGTTGTCCATTAATTTCAGCATCCCTTGATGGTTCTTGCCTATAACTATTACTCCTCTGGTGCTTGTAGAAGAGTGCATTTTCTCATTTCTCCCCATTTATTAATTTGAATTCTACTATAAAGAAACACTCTTCCTTCTCCTTCAGTTATTTATTTTATTTAGTTATTTACTAGTGCCAGTATGAATTTTTAGGTATTTATTTTTCTCTGTGGGTTGTAAATCAAATATTATTATCATTTATTTGGCTGCTCAGTTGTTCCAGCTTTTTGTCATTGGGAGTTCTATCAAGTGGCTTTTTCGTCCTTTTGACATATCCCCATCATTTCTGAGTAATTTCTTACCAGAAATGTTGCCTTTTTTTTTTTTTTTTTTTTTTTTTTTTTTTTTTTTTTTTTTTTTTTTTTTTTTTTTTTTTTTTTTTTTTTTTTTTTTTAAGATAGAAGACATTTAATTGGACTATGAGATTTGTGGGAAGCAAAGGTATTGGGCACTAGGGCAAGTTTGTACAGGCCGTGCTTAAGGTACCCTCTTGGATATGGCATCCACAAATGAAGCTGTTGGTATGGACCAAGATGCAGCCAGGAATCTCACTGACCTGGTCCATGGCATCCTCATGAAGAACCCGCCATGGTTTGGGCAGGGGCAGTCAGCTTTAGAATTAGTGGGGCTCCTTGGGCACACACTGTACTACTATTGTCTAGTCTGGTCAGTGTAGATAACAAAGATGATGGCTGGGGTAGGGGCAGCTTAGATTCCAGATGGTAGAGTTGCCTCTTTCAAGGGTGTCTGCTTTTGCAGGCCAGGGCCCTAGACCCCAGGCTGGCAGCCAGATGTGCTCATACAAGCTTAGTCTCTGCAGAAACTCTAAGAGTTTACACACTTGAACCCTATCTTGGTTGGGCTGGTTCCAGGTGGGATTAAGTTGAGCAGGCATTCAGACTAGTGGCTAGTGCATGTCAAAGTTCCCCCTTCTTCCACTGGTAGGTCCCATTATCTATTGTGCCCACCTCCTCCATGATGTACTCATACATCTTGTCATAGTGGATGCCCACTGTATTGTCCTCTTCACTAGGCTCCAGCAACTGAGCCAGCAACTTGTGCCCAGCTGGGTCTGGAGCAGTGTGTGCCCAGCTGGGTCTGCACTGCTCAGCTGGGTCTGCTGTTGCTTCCCAGGTGACAGGGAGCTCATGGTCTCTGTGAAAGACATCTGGTAATGGTCATATCAGTGTCTCTGTGGGTCATACTTGTCACACATGTCCATCATGATGTCACGTGAAGCTGATTTTTCAAGGTCCTTAGTCTCCGCCCTCTCTGCATCCCATAGTCTGGCAGGAGGCAAAGCAATGTGCATGTCATTGTCTTGTCACAGTGAATGGTTCCCTTGTGTGTCTTCATTAATGGGCGGTGCCATGAGGTTGTTGTGGGATCATTGGGTGATGGGATGGACTCTGAGCCAAGCATACAGTGGTGGGTTTGGAGGGGTGTTAGCAGCAGCAGCAGTGAAAGCAGAAATGTATTCTTGATTCTCTTTTAGCTTTCTCCTTGTTAGACTCTTTTTCCTTTTGCCATTTACACGTCCTTGCTGTTGTTTGACTAAGCTAAAGACTTGGGTATAAGAATACTGACCTAACGTTCTTTAGTAGTAAGATAAAAAAACCAAGACACTTCCTTGGAATAGTAGGATGCTTTTGAAAACATCTAATGTTATCTTTAGTTTCACTAATCAAATATTTATGGAGCATTTACTATTTGCTAGCCATTTTGCTAGTGTTAGGTTAACTCCTTTTTTGTGGAGGCAAGAGGATTTGGTAGAAAGAACTCTGGTGGAGTTGGTAAAAACGTTTTAACTTTTTTTTCTTCTAAAAGTTAACTATATACATTAGGGGATTTATAAATTAACTCTCATCCTTAGATAAGCCAGGTATTAGAAAGTGACTGTTTTTTTTTTACTGGTTTAGAAGTTTTGCCATTTATTCAAGTAGCAGGCCTGGTGCTCAGACAGACTTCCCCAGCTTATAAATGGTGGTAGGAAGTGAGGATTGTGAAATGGAGACTGTATATAGGATTCATTCAGACTGAATTTCCCACATTATCATAGACAATCTAGATACAGATCAGAGCCTCCTAAATTATGAAATGCTTTCTTTAGATGGGTTCCATCTCTAATTGAAGTCATCAAGATCAGATCTCAAGAGGGTATTTTCCAGTTGCCCTCACTGTAATTTTTGGCCTGCAAAAAGTAGAGTGATGTACTTCCTTTACTGTGCTCATTTCTTCTCAGTTTGTTGTTTTGACTTTGGTTTCCTCATTCTGCGATCTTTAAATCAGTGTATTTTTCTTCCGGGTCTGAGAATAAAAAGATTTTCAAATGGATCACTGGATATTTCAGAGTAACTTTTCAGGTTTTCCCATACTTTCATGTTTCTTTTCTTATTAAAAATAACATCTAATTAAAAATAACATCTTTATGTCTGTATTGTGCTCATCTCTCTTTTTTTTTTTTCTGTGTTTTTGAAGGTTTAAAACTGTTGGTCTTTTCATAAATTTCTTTGGTTCAACAAGATTGTGCACAATCCTATTATTTTCTTTTCCTTCCCACCTCACCTATCCTATCTTGAGTTTTACTGCTAGGAACAAACACAGTAAGGATTTTCTTCTTTGATTGGAATGGGGTGAGCTTGGAGAAAAGAAGGCATTTCAGGTGTCCACTGACAGTCTTAAGTATGTGTAGCCAGAGGCACTTTCCATTTTCTCTCTGGATCTCAATTTTTTATCCATAAAATGAAAGATCAGATTAGATGACTAAGGTTTTTGCAGGTCAAAAGTCCTACAAATACAACTCAAATGTCCATCAACTGATGAATGGATAAACACATTTGGCATATGAAAAATAGATTATTATTTCACCACAAAAAGTAATGTAATACTGATTCATAGTACAACATGATGAACCTTGAAAACACTGTGCTAAGTGAGAGAAGCTCATTACAAAAGGTCACTTAGTATATGATTTCATTTATCTGACATGTCCAGAATAGGCTAATTCATAGACAGAAAGTAAATTAGTGGGTGCCAAAGGCTGGGGAAATCAGAAGTGACTGCTTAAGTATGGGATTTCTTTTTGGAGTAACAAAAATGTTGTAAAATTAGATAGTGGTGATGGTTACATAGCTTTGGGAGTATATGAAGAATGATCAGATTGCACACTTTACAGTGATTTTATGGTATGTAAATTATATCTTTGTAAAGCTGTCATAAAAACAAAAACAAAAAAAACCTGAGCTGGACATGGTGGTATATGACTGTAGTCCCAGCTCCTTGGGAGGCTGAGACAGGTGGATTACTTGAGCCCAGGAGTTTGAGACCAGCTTAGGCAACATAGCTAGACCCCATCTCTTAAAAAGAAAATAGAGAAAAAAAATAAAACCAATTCATCAACCAGGAATGTTCATTGATCTGAATATATAGGACGTCGAAATAAATCCTTCTTTTTTAGCATGTCACAGACATTCTTTTCAGAGGTACCGAAGACCTGACAGGGGCCTGATGGCTAGTAGACTGTTGACTGGTGACTGGTATATGTAAGACGATATCAACCTGAAATTCTTATTCTTTGTATCAGTTTCCTGAGAGACCAGTTGGGTTTATCAGCATAAAGTCGTGTTGGTTCTTTTTTACAGATTCTCTTTTGGGTACTCTCAAATTCCAGAATGTTTAGTTGAGGATTTAAGAGCAAATGGTGGGATTCAATGACAAATTTGAAATGAATCCACGAGTCCTAGCCTTTTTTTTGAGACATAGTTTCACTCTTATTGCCCAGGCTGGAGTGCAATGGCATGTTTTCAGCTTACTGCAACCTCTGCCTTCTGGGTTCAAGCGACTCTCCTGCCTCAGCCTCTGGACTACCTGGGACTGCAGGCACCCACCACCATGCCTGGCTAATTTTTATATTTTTAGTAGAGACGAGGTTTTACCATGTTGGCCAGGCTGGTCTCAAACTTCT